CTATTACCACTGTGACTACTGCTATTACCACTGTGACTACTGCTATTATCACTGTAACTACTGCTATTATCACTGTGACTACTGCTATTACCACTGTGACTACTGCTATTACCACTGTGACTACTGCTATTATCACTGTAACTACTGCTATTATCACTGTGACTACTGCTATTATCACTGTGACTACTGCTATTATCAATGTAACTACTGCTATTATCACTGTGACTACTGCTATTATCACTGTAACTACTGCTATTATCACTGTGACTACTGCTATTATCACTGTGACTACTGCTATTACCACTGCGACATCTACTACTTCTACTAATACAACTACTTTTATTGGTATTAATATTACTTAATATTTAAATATTATTGTTATGAATATTATTATTTGATATTAATTGCTACTTGTATTGTTATTAATAATAAATTACTAATTATTATTTCTCTCATTGTATTGATCTTATTGTAATTAATAATATTACTGTTATTATAATTAATTATTAATGTTATCAATATCAATTTGACATTACTTCATGACGAAGATCAATATAGGCCAATTTAATTCCAGCTTCCTTGTCTCCTTTCTTAGGTTATGTTGTGTTGTTTGAAACAGGGGGGGGGGGAGAAGGGAGAGCTCCTAGCTGCCGTATGTGTTGTGCCTCGCATACTGCTCCTCCGAGAGAGAGAGAGAAGATTAAGTCCCCCAAAAGGTGGCTTGGGCATGAATAGCCCATAAGTGGTGGCCCTTTTGAGCCATTTCCAGTATCAATAGATGATACTGGAGATCTGTGGAGGTGCGACTGCATCCTGCGTGACGGGAGATGTCTCCCGTGCTGCTCCTCCGTTTAGTTCTCTTATGTATATTAAGTACAAGTGACGTGTATTTATACCTGGTGTGTGGCTGGAATGTGTGTGTGTGTGTATGCAGATTGGCTTGGTTAATAGAGGTGTGGTGGGAGTCAAGTTGTGGTGGTGTGGGATGTGGTGTGGTGAGGAGGTTGGGGGAGGAGGTAGTTATGGTGGCAGTGGGAGTGTAAGGTGTTGTGGTCTGTGGTGTGGTGGGTGTCGACGGTCCTGTGGTCTGTGGTGTGGTGGGTGTCGACGGTCCTGTGGTCTGTGGTGTGGTGGGTGTCGACGGTCCTGTGGTCTGGGGTGTGGTGGGTGTCGACGGTCCTGTGGTCTGGGGTGTGGTGGGTGTCGACGGTCCTGTGGTCTGTGGTGTGGTGGGTGTCGACGGTCCTGTGGTCTGTGGTGTGGTGGGTGTCGATGGTCCTGTGGTCTGGGGTGTGGTTTTGGTGTGGTGGGTGTCGATGGTCCTGTGGTCTGCGGTGTGGTGCGTGTCGACGGTCCTGTGGTCTGGGGTGTGGTGGGTGTCGACGGTCCTGTGGTCTGTGGTGTGGCGGGTGTCGACGGTCCTGTGGTCTGTGGTGTGGCGGGTGTCGACGGTCCTGTGGTCTGTGGTGTGGTGCGTGTCGACGGTCCTGTGGTCTGGGGTGTGGTGGGTGTCGAAGATGGATTTGTTTATTGTGATGCGAGAGTAGATGGAGAAGTTTATGAAGATAAAGTTACAGACAGGCAGAGATACGTACCTAACTAATGGGGGGGGGGGGTACCCGGTGTTGCTCGGGTGATGAACGCCGCATCTGCACTACTCACTATATTCATCAGTGTAACCCATCTTCACTTGTCACTATCTTCATCACTGTAACCATCTAGAATGCACACCGTCACACATTTCCCCTCCTTTTCCACCTTTCCTACCCTTCAATATACCCCCACCTTCCGTTCCCTTCACTAATCTTTTCTCCTTCACCACCTTTCCTACTCTTTCACCTCCTTTCTTACTCTTCACCATCTTCCCTACAGCATTTCTACCTCTCGTTCACTACCTTCACGTCCAACCACTTGGATTGGACGGTAGGGCGACGATCTTGCTTCATACAGGTCGGCGTTCAATCCCCCGATTGTCAAAGTAGTTGGGCACCATTTCTTTTCCCCCGTCCCATCTCAAATCCTTATCCCGATCCCTTCCAAGTGCTATATAGTCGTAATGTCTTGGCGCTTTCCCAGATAAATTCCTCCCTCACTCCCTTATCGTTCACCATTACCCTTCACTATCTTTTCTTCTCTTAGCCACTTTCCTTTCAATTCTTTGCAGTTTTAATGAGGACGGATTTGTATATTTTGCGAGATTCGAAATTAGTATGATTTGTCATTTTATACAACACGGGGTTCGACCCCGTAACCGTCTGTGACTATCCACAGACCAGTCACCCTGCAAAGTTTGGTGAGGCTAGACCCAGGAGTCTGCCCACCACTTCCCCCCCCCCCCTCCCTATCCTGGAACACACATATATTCTCTTTTATAGATACGGTATTAACATAGACCCTAGTTACATAGACACACAAATGCACAGACACGCTTTCCTACAGAATTGTTACGTGCATGCACAAATATATATACTCATTCATATATGCAAATATACACATAAATACTCACTCAAAATAGTTAAACTTTTTTTGGGCCTAATAAGCGAGGCTTGTTTCCCCTAACGGTCAGAGCGATTTTGCATATTTTCAAAATATTTCCTTCCAAATGAATTTACTCGTAATAATGTTAACATATTATATTGACAACTTGATTTTCAAGCTTAAACAGGCCTAGTTTAGCATATTTTAGGCAGTATTGAGAAATAAACCGGCATATTTAGGTTAGGTCAGATTTCAGACTTAGTTTTGAATTAAAATAATCTCTACGTACTGTATGATGTTACAGTGTGAGACTTACTCCGTAAGATATATTTTGTCGAAAAAATAATTAAGAAAATTCGGCATGTTAGGCTACCCAGGCTATTTTGCAAGACATTACATGCACACCAGAGGTGTGTGTACACTTGCATATACATACACTCATGCCCAACCACTTGGACTGGACGGTAAGGCGACGTTCTCGCTTCATGCAGGTCGGCGCTCAATCCTCGACCATCCAAGTGATTGGACACCATTCCTTTCCCCCGTCCCATAGCAAATCCTTATCCTGACCCCTTCCCAGTGCAATATAGTCGAAATGGCTTTACTCCGCAGGAAGGGAACTATCAGGAGAAAGCGCCAAACCATTAGACTTGCACTTGGAAGGGGTCTGGATAAGGATTTGAGATGGGACGGGGAAGGGGGGGGGGTTACTAATTACTTGGACGGTCAGGGATTGAACGCCAACCTGCTTGAAGCGAGACCGTCGCTCTACCGTCCAGTCCAAGTGCTTCCACTCCGTAGGAGCACAAGGAAGTATTTCTTGCGCGTCCCGGAAGCGAAGTGAATGGAGTTGAGAGCGAGAGTAGTGAGGGTGGCTTCCTTCACAGCTTCAAGTGGCGGTGTGAGGATGAACTAGCAAGCGGGTCACGTGATACTGCATAAAGCCCTGGGAGGGGGGGGGGGCGAAGTCCCCGAGGAGCGATTATGACAAAAAGTGGAACACCGGGAGGTATAAATGTTCCTAGTATAACCCTTAGGTTGGAGCTCAGGAGCTACAGGTACTGCGCCCCGTAAACACAAGTAGGTAAGCACAATAGCCCCACACGGTATCCACAGCGTCGAAACGCGACTTTTATTCTGATTTATGTGCCAAGAGTGGCATTACGCAGCGCCTCAGAAGACACTGACAGGCGGTCGTCTTTCTTTAGCCTGAGTGGCCCTCAGGAGCCTGACTCTCTGCACGCGTGTTTATTTTAACGTTTGCGCGCTTGTGCGAGTGTGTGTCTAGTTACATTAACTGTTACCTATTTAGGTGAGCATAAGCGCATGCGTGTGTGAGCATGGGCGTGCTCCACTGCACATACAGTGTTTTCCTTCAAACATATCCATTCGTGTGTCCCACCTTTCGTCTCCACAATTACTTAACTGTCTAATTACGCGAAGATTCACCCGGTGAATTTATCCAGTTAGCGTGTGGGTCGTTGTGTCCAGTCCACATACATCACACCGACCCCAAAACACCTCACTATAAATTACTTGTCGCTGCGCCTCCGGACTCGTTGATGACACACCCAGCCCGACCCGGCCCGGCCCGGCCCGGCCCGGCCCAGTCCGGCCCAGCCCAGCCCAGCCCAGCCCAGTCCGGCTCCTCCACAACGCTAAACACTGTCTGCTGCTTCGTGATGAATGGAGCAGGCCACGCACACACCTGTCTCTCTCTCTCTCTCCCCTTCACACAAACTCCCGGTTTCTCTCTCACATTCAAACACTCTTGTATCGTATGTAGTCTTCATGGGTGCTTGGTGTGTGCGTATGTAACGGGAGGGAGCATCTGGTGAGAGAAAGAATCATTATAATTATTTTACTCTGCAGTAACCCTTTTAGTTACATTCCAAGTTAGAAAGGGATTGACGCTAACCAATTTGTAAATAGAGACATGACTGTGTACCGACAGAGAAGGTAGCCAGGCTCCACTTGCAGTAGTGCTAATTGAGTTCTGCTAACGACTCGTGGGCTACGTGTCGTTAGCAAACTGATAACTGGACAGCGTACATATATAGAACTTCAAATAATAACACCAAAAATTGTGATAAATCAGCAAATTCAAAACACTGGCGCCATTTCCAGCAGGTCCGCGGGCGACGGTGAGCTACGCTGCTCCGTGTCCCTATCCGGTCCTTCTCAAACAACTAGTAATTTCACGGTTCCTGAAGAGATTATTATGTAGGCTTAACCGGAGCGCCTCCCATTGCTACCAATATACGAGTGACTAGATGATAGCAATTTGGCGTGATCCAATCATCCTAACTCAGCCTTTGATTCTCTAGTATGGAGTTAGACGTTATTGTTTAGAGCAATTGCGTGGTGATGGCGGTGTTTGGAGACGGGTTCCGTGTTACCCCTTCCGCTGTAGACGGAGGTGGGGGGGGGGGGGGGGAGTAATGCATATTTGACAGAAGTGGACAGGTAGAATGTCGGTCTGTAGGTGTGTTGTATTAAGGCACGTGTCTCTTCTCCCTCAGCGGCGGCATCGCGGGGTGATGGAGGGTCTGGTGGCCCTGGGGGCGGCCCTGGTCGTCCTCCTCGCCTGCCGCCTCGCCGTCATGGGCTCCCAGCCGCCGGAGTTCGCCCCGGCAGACAACCCGGCGGCGGACTGCGAGTCTCCGGGGGTGAGGGCGCTCACTTTCTTCTTCCTGCCGGCGTTCAACACGTGGCTGCTGCTGTGTCCCTACACGCTGTCCTTCGACTGGTCCATGGAGGCCATCCCGCTGGTGACGTCCCTGGCGGACCCCAGGAACCTGGCTTCCATGGCCCTCTACGCTTCCCTGGGCCTCATGGCGCTGGCCTCGCTAGTGGCCCTCCGGCGGCGACGGCCCGGCGACGAGACCGGCGGCGGCGGCGAGTCTGCCACCTCCGGCGACGTCACCATCATGGGCCTCGCCCTCATCCTCCTGCCGTTCCTCCCAGCTACTAATCTCTTCTTCTACGTGGGCTTCGTAGTGGCGGAGCGCATCCTCTACATCCCGTCCATGGGCGTGTGTCTCATGGTGTCCTGGGGGGCGCACCTTCTGCACGCGCGTGCACGCACCGCCCGCGCCCGCCGGCTCCTGCAGGCGGCGCTGGTGGTGCTGTTCCTGCTGTTCTCGGCCCGCACGTGGACCAGGAACCACGACTGGGCCACCGAGGAGAACCTCTACCGCTCCGGCATCGCCATCAATCCTCCTAAGGGTGAGTACCCCCCATGACTCTCGTTACCTCCTGATAAATGGGTACCATTCACCACCCTGCCGTAGGTCACCCACAACAGCCGTGACCGCTCCCCATATCCATCCCCCCATTAATAACACCCCACGACCTTCCGACCGAACAATTGGCTGCCACCAGGTCATCCACGACCACTGATACGTCACCCCATTCCCACTGGGACGACGACAGCCACTGACCACCCACCCATACGTCACCCCATCCCCACTGGGACGACGACAGCCACTGACCACCCACCTATACGTCACCCCATCCCCACTGGGACGACGACAGCCACTGACCACCCACCCATACGTCACCCCATCCCCACTGGGACGACGACAGCCACTGACCACCCACCCAAACGTCACCCCATCCCCACTGGGACGACGACAGCCACTGACCACCCACCCACACATCACCCCATCCCCACTGGGACGACGACAGCCACTGACCACCCACCCATACGTCACCCCATCCCCACTGGGACGACGACAGCCACTGACCACCCACCCATACGTCACCCCATCCCCACTGGGACGACGACAGCTACTGACCACCCACCCATACGTCACCCCATCCCCACTGCGAAGACGACAGCCACCCCATCCCGTCCATAAGATCAGTAAACAACCCCATACCTGCATCCATCACGAAGACTAATATGACAAACTTTTAAGAACCGATGCTTAAAGTACAATATTATTATCAGTTATTATAGGTATCTTCTCCCACCCTCATAACACCTGCCACCCTCATAACTCCTCCCACCCTGCCTCTCTCCCTCCTAACTCCTTTCAAACTCCTTCATAGCCCTTCCCACTCTCTCTCATAATTTCTTCCTCACTACTTTATATTTTCTACCGTTGTTTATACTTCCCTCTCCTCATTTTCCTGCCTCATAACTCCCCTCTCTCTCCCCCTCCCTCCCTCATACATTTTCACACACTCCCTCATAGCTCATCTCAGCATCGCTCTTCATTAACTCTACCCACACTCCCTCATAACTCATTCAACCCTCCCTCATACCTCCTACCCTTCCATATACCTCCTCCCTCCTTTCCTCCTTGCCTCATAGGCTCCTCCCTCTCTCCTACCCTGCCTCATAACTTCTCTCTGCAGTATACTGCTAAAGTTTCTACCTCATAACTCCTTTCCTTTACAACTCCTTCCTCCCTCACCTCCCCACACATGATCCTTCCATCCCTCTTTTCCATCACGTCCTTTCTTTTCCCTCACCACCCCCCTTCCTTTCTTCCTCCTTTCCTCCAAGTCCCTTTCTATATCTAGCTTCCTCACTTTTTACTTCTAACCCCCTCCCTCTATCTTCCATGTTCCTCAGTACTGCTGCATGACATATTCCTCCGCTCCTTCTCATTTATCTATCACATGTTTCTCCCTTCCACTTCTCTTCCTCCCTTCCATAACTCTCTTTCTTCCTACATTCTTTCCTTTCATCTCTTACTCCCTCTCCGTTAACCTCCCTCATTCTATGAATCTCTCTCTCTCACACCCCCTCCCTCTTCATTTTCTCTCACATCCCCCTCCCATGGCAAAACCACTTGGACTCGATAGAGCGACAGTCTCGCTTCATGCAGGTCGGCGTTAAATCCCCGACCGTCCAAGTGGTTGGGCACCATTCCTTCCCTCCGTCCCATCCCAAATCCTGACCCCTTCCCAGTGCTATATATAGTCGTTATGGCTTTTGGCGCTTTCCCTTGATTCCTGATTGTTCCCTTCCCTTCCCATGGCTCGTCTTGGTATGTATCATGAATATTCCCTTGTTTTTTTATACATATGAAGCCACGAGGTGGAAATTTGAATTCTTTTTTTATGGTCAGTTTATTGTGTCTGCTAATATCCGGATGTTGCTTTTTGTATTAATACTGCCGGCATCCGGCTATTCGCTCATCCGGTCAACGTCAAAGAATATTTTGCGCAGTGATAATCTAGCAATTATTGACATTTATTTTATTTAGAGTTAATTTGGGATAATCTGATTCATTTTGTGCTTGAGTTATGTAAGATGATATACGATATCATAATAAACGCAAAGCAACGAGGAGTTGCAAAGGCAGTGATCGAACTGGATCACATTAACCGAATAACGTCAGGCAAGTGTCAGAACAGCCTTCAGTAACCTTGACCCGCAGACCTTAAGAGTGACATCCCGCCAAACACACACCGAAACTACGACGTTGGTACAACGTTCGAACAAGTTTTAACACTTCCTAACCAGTTATAACAACCAATATAGCAAGTTGTAACAACGTTCTAATACGCCATAAACACGTTAAGCCAAGATGTAACAACTTTATTACAAGTTGTAACGAGCGGAAAATAGAAACAGTTTCGGTTTGTGTTTCCAGGGATTCATAACTCGTAGTCGATTCGTGTATGAGAACATCACAACATTTTCCCATCGGTTAAGCCATGTATCTGGCGGTTACTCAGGACCCAGGTTCGATCCCCGCTCTGCTCCAATATTTTTCTCACGATATCCTACGTTAAAGCAACTCTAAGAGTATAAAGCATCTGCATGGCGTCCACACATGGAAAAACAAAAATAATATAGAAAAATTACAGAGATAAGCGACTAGTTGAGCAAAGACATCAACAATGAATGGCTGAGCAAACACACTCCAATGTGGAGGAAATTGGGGAATAAAAGGGAGGATAAGATAACAAAAATTATATAGGTAATTGACAGATTGGACAGACCAGAGGACACGGCAGGACCAGAGGACACGGATGGAGGCCAAAGAATAATTAGGTCAACTGATTGACAGTTGAGAGGCGGGACCAAAGAGCCAGAGCTCAACCCCCGCAAGCACAACTAGGTGAGTACACACACACTGTGCGTGACTTTCAGCATCCTTATTCAAATCAACGTCTTTACCTGACTTGTTCACAGAATTTCAATAGTTCATAAACGTATAATTTCACCCAGTTACTCCGGCCCGGCTCGCAAGTGGTGGCTGGGCCGGCTCGACCAGACCAGCTCCATCACACTAGCGTACACACGCCTCAACCTCACCAACCACCCCAACTACCACCACACCAACTACCACCACACAGCGTACGCCCGTCACCACCACACCAACTACCACCACACTGTGTACGCCCGCCACCACCACACCAACCATGGCTACTACCACCACCACAACACACCAGCAATCATCGGGTCATCACCCTTTGTAGAATAAGAAGATATACGGACGGAAGGCTCACTGGAGACGGACGGAAGGTTCACAGAAGATGGACACAGACGTTAGCAGGACGCGAAGTGGTGAAACAATTTGAAGGCTGACAAGGCTGGCAAGGCTGACAAGGCTGGCAAGGCTGACAGGGCTGACAAGGCTGGCAAGGCTGACAGGGCTGACAAGGCTGGCAAGGCTGACGAGGGGATCGTTACATATGTGTCTGTTGACTGGCCCAGAGGTGTGTGGGTGGGTCTATGCCCTGACCCACGTGTACCTGCAGGGTCGAACCTTATAGCTGTTAGATCCCCGTCTTTCCCTGTAAGAACTTAATATCTCTGTTATGTTTCCTCTCACTTTTTGCAACGACATTCAACCCAGCACTTTCGGTCTTCCGTCATACCCCCGTCATTCCTCGTAATTGTGGAACGAAACTCGTTGCAAAGCTCTCTAACCTTTCAAGTTTCCTTAGGGACTTTTTTGAAGTAAAGACTATGATGAGGCGGGATACTCCCAGGACCGGTCCCAAGTATGTGGTGTACAGTGATCTAAATGCCTATTTATTTTGGTTACTAAATGATGTTCTGACTTTCAGCAGTATATATAGAGTATGTTGCTGGTGTTAGATTTAGTGTTATATTCATGCACCAGAGTTTTTTCTCTAAGTCATTACAGGGATGTAGTTTCCCTCTTCATTATATAACGTCCTTTTGGTCTCCCATTATCTGTTCCCGTTTCCTCTCACCTTAGACTTGTCGGTGCTATTTCTATTTCAATAGCTATTTCTCGGTCCAACTCTACAGCTTGTCTAAGCCGTCATGAAGCGTCGTACTAACTCGTCTGTCACAACACTTCTCATTAATTCTGCATCTTTAGCGAACACCGAGATGTAGGAATCAAGTCATGTATTGTGGTTATTATCATAAGTGTGAGTCCTAGCAGCGATCTCTGAAGTGCTCCACTATAGGGTTTCTCAGAGTGTTAGTGTGTATTGTAGGGTGTGAGCAACACAAACCTTTGTAATAGGCAGATAAATACAAGCAGGCTTATAGTTCTTTGCTATCGTATTTGTGTAGAATGAGAGACAGAGAGAGAGAGAGAGAGAGAGAGAGAGAGAGAGAGAGAGAGAGAGAGAGAGAGAGAGAGAGAGAGAGAGAGAGAGAGAGAGAGAGACAGAGAGACAGAGAGAAGAACAAGAAAGATTCTCTCTCTCTCCATCTCGTCGTCTTCCCAGCTAGCAAAGGCGCTCCGGGGGGCAACATTCATGCAAAGAAATAATTACGGAGCCGCTTGCGTGCTGCGGACTCTCACTCATTGACCTAACAACCTCCCGCTCGTCCATCTTTGTCTAACTACCCAGTTATCACCCACAACTATCCACCCTCGGAACGGTCATTTGGCTGTTTTAACTACCCAGTCATCAAGCTAACTAACCGCCACCTGTATGGTCATTTATGTTTGGCCAATGACCTTATTGTGACTCAACTGGTCGTCGGTCGGTCGGCCGGCCGGTTGCAAGAAGCTATCGCCGGTGTCAATAACCGAAATTTATACGGCTCTCCGGATCACGCGACCGCTCAAGCGCCCAGACTCCTCCTCATCTTCGGTACAAATGGTCTTTCTACCTTGTGTTGCAAGCGGTCCAACTCCGTCTGCAGTCACTGATGTTTTGTTGACCAGACCACACACTAGAAGGTGAAGGGACGACGACGTTTCGGTCCGTCCTGGACCATTCTCAAGTCGACTCAACTTACTTTAGCCACGTTATTGTGACTCATCGCCTGCACTGTTGTTTATAATGACCTTAGTTAGCATAGGGTTAAATCCTTCCCTAATCGGTATTATTGCGTCTAGATGTGGTAATATACAACCACGAGTCTTAGTCTAGGGAAGTTGTCAGACTGGTTGTGGTTCTCAAGGTGGTAACCTCAAGTGGTTACTGAGAAACAGTCGGAACGACCAGTCAGCTCACTCGGGAGATATACCTAGATTCCTAAAGTATATATATATACTTACCGGGAAACGGATCATTGGGACTGTCACTGTGGACTCTAATTAAAGTTGTGAATCGGCCAATTCTTGCACGATAGATGCAAGTAATAACTTCTGCAACAATCACCTTCATGAACAACCTCAAACTACGCGCCGCTTGTTCGGTAGACGTTCGTAATTGCTCCTGGGATAATTAGCCACTTAAATGATCTCAGCCTACGAACTGCTCGTTTCGAGAGCCTTGCCCTCTTTACTCTTTGGCTGCCAACCTCTCCCCCCGTCAGTGGGAACTTTTGTCAGTAAATTAACCTAACCTAACCTGGCAACAACTCTCACTGTCCACAATATTAACCTTGTTTACTACTTCCCCCCGTCCTACGGTCGTTATATTTAGTCTACCTTACTACCTCCGTCTGTTAGGACCGTTAGCCACCTCCTAACGACCTATCGTCTCACACCCGACATTTGTAAACACCACAAGACTCATTCCGTCTTATTAGTCCTTACCTTTATTGCTTCTTATTCTTTATTTTATGACTTTCCTGCTTTTTGCTGGCGCCTATTGCGCGGCTTGAGCTCACGCCACTCTCGGCTGAAGTGACCTCGGAATGGAAGAGTTAAATTACCGGAGCCTGACTTTCTGTGTTTGAGTGCTGAGTACATCCTCAGGGCCTCCTGTAATGGCTTACCCTCTATATATGTTCCCAGGTTTTCCTCACTAAATATTATAAGTTAATGAACTTTGCTGATGAAGCTTCATTATATGTATGTATATATACATATAGTTAATTATAACCGCATTGCTGGCGTTGTTGACTTTATAGAGGAAGATTTTTATGCTTCTATTTTCTTAGTATTAGCGTTAAGATTAACAACCAAGTTACCAAAATTCTCACTGAAGATACCCTAGTAATTATTGAAGGATTTATTTTCTACAACGTTTCATTCCAATGTGGAACATCTTCAAGTAATGAGTGAATTGATTAGGATTGATTGATGAAGATTAAGCCACCCAAAAGATGGCACGGGCATGAATAGCCCGTAAGTGGTGGCCCTTTTGAGCCATTACCAGTATCAAGAGCTGATACTGGAGAGCTGTGGAGGTGCGACTGCACCCTGCGTGACGGGAGATGTCTCCCGTGTTGATTAGGTTGTTGTTGTTGTTATAGATTCAGCTACTCGGAACAAGTTCCAAGTAGCACGGGCTATGGTGAGCCCGTAACTTACCTGGCACAGGAGCGGGGCAAGAAGCACGGGCTATGGTGAGCCTGTGACGGTTGATTAAGTGCAATTTTTTAGTTAAATACATATGTGAAAGTCTCGAAGGAGTATGGGGTGAGGTGACGAGAGCAATCAAAGATAGGGTAAGGGGATAGAGTCAATTCAACATTGTCTAAGGAGGTAATCTCGGAGGGAAGGGAGTCATCGGTAGAGACATCATTATCCGGCGATGTGGTTCTCTCTCTCTCTCCAACATATGACAACTGCTGACCACTCACTCACTCACTCCCTCTCTCTCTCTCCCTCACAGCGTATGGCAACCTCGCCAACATCTTGAGCTCTCAGGGCAAGAAGGAGGAGGCGGAGTGGGCCTACAAGAAGGCCCTCTCCTACCGTTCCAATATGGCCGACGTCCACTATAATTTGTGAGTATATGCTTTCTGGTGATGTATATATATATAATATATATATATATATATATATATATATATATATATATATATATATATATATATATATATATATATATATATATATTATAATTCCTTCCTTCCGCGTGGGTGGAGGGGGAGTATACCCCCTACCAACCATCCCGTGTTGGTTATAAATCTGCTAATCTTTGTGGGTATACCCCCCCCTTGTGCAAGTATAGCCCTCTTCCCCCCCCCCCCCTCCCGTGAAAATATAACCCTCCTACCCCGGAATGGGTATATATACGCCTCCTGCCCCGTATGACCATGCCCTTCCTACCCTTGTAAGGAGGGTATACTCGTGTGGGTATAACTTTCCTACTCCATACAGTTAGTCGACAAGGGTAGGTAGTTAGGTAAGTGTATGGATAAATAGAATAACAGATCACTAGAAGGATTTATTATTAGAAGAATAGATCGATAGAAGGATTTATTATTAGAAGAATAGATCAATAGAAGAATTTATCATTAGAAGAATAGATCAATAGAATGATTCATCATTAGAAGAATAGTTCAATAGAATAATTTATCATTAGAAGAATAGATCAATAGAAAAAATTATAATTAGAAGAACAGATCAATAGAATAAATAGGCTAATAGACAACCAGGGAAATATATTCAGAGGTAAATAGATGACGAAATTTTGCACGGCTTGTAATGTGATTATATTTGGATGACAAGATGGAATGACAGAATGATAGAATGACAGAATGATAAAATGATAAAATGACAGGATGATAGAATGACAAAATGATAGAATGACAAAATGATAGAATGACAGAATGATAGAATGACAGAATGATAGAATGACAGAATGATAGAATGACAGAATGATAGAATGACAGAATGATATAAGGACAGAATGACAGAATGGCAGAATGACAAATTGACAGAATGATAGAATGATATAATGACATAAGGCCAGTATGACAGACAGGCTGAATGACAGAATGATAGAATAACAGAATAGTTGAATAATTTAATGGGATTGTTGTAGTAGATTTATATCACGGTAGAATTCAGTATGATATATTTTTTGCAGCTTAGTTTACCAGAACATATGCTCTACAGCATACCCTTCCCAAGAGTATGTTTTTGTCAACCTTTCCACTCACCCAATACATGCTAATCAGTCAAAAAAATACGGTAATATAGACGTTTTCAGAACATCAGTCTTGATGAGTCAGGAGGATTGCCGATAGATTGGAACGTTTCTGGATAGTTAAAACTACTGTAAGTGGTGAGAGCGGGTTGTATGAAGACCGAAGAGCTTAGACTCGAAGAAATGCTTGCTAACATCATGTTCTCGCAGCTTTCAAAGTCCGCTTTTTTCCACAAAATATGCGTCATTACGTATAAAACAGTTGATATCTCACCACTCCGATGTCTCCCCTCTTACAATTACTCGCTGTTTCCTGTTGCTTAGATACTCACTTATCCACTAGAGCACCGTAACATTTACTTCTGCCTGTTTCTCCAACTTTTGTAACAGCCTTTTATGAGGTACTGTGACAAAGGCTTTCTGACATTCCAAGAAAATGCAATCTGCCCACTCTTCTCATTCTGGCCTAATTTTTGTTGCCTGGTCAAAGAATTTTATAAAGCCTGTGAGGCACGATTTACCATCCCTGAACCTATGCTAGTGGTGTGTTACAAAGTTCTTATCCTCCAGATGTTCTATGAGCCTTTTTCTCACGATCTTCTCCATCACCTCCTTGCATGTTATACAAGTTAGGGAAAGTGGCCTGAAGTTCATTGCCTCTTGCCTGTCACCCTTGTTGTATATTGGGCCTACATTAGCTGTCTTCCAGCTTTCTGGTAAGTATCCTGTTTCCAGGGACCTGTTATACACCATTGAGAGTGGGCACACTTAGTGCCTCTGTACCCTGTGTGTTTTTCCAGGCATGCTTACTCACCCTTTTTTCTCTCTTCATTCTCAAAATTTTTAATTTTGTCTCCATAGTTACACATCTGTTATATATTTTTTTTTGTTATATAATAAACATTTTTATTGTTTTGTTTTTCTCTGTCATCACCCATACCGTTTTCTTTTCCGACATAATCATGTATCCCGTTTTATCTTCCCTACAGAGGTATACTATTTCAAGAACAGAAGAGATATGAAGAGGCGTTGCAGGAATACAAGCTTGCAATACAATTCCGGCCGAGGATGGCAAGTAAGTCCCAAGCCGCTTCCCTCTTTCGCTCTCGCTCTCTCATTCTCTTTTCCTCGGCCTTATTGTCTCACTTTCTCTATATCTCTCCCTTTGCCTCACCTCTCATTCGTGCACCCTTTTAATTTTCTCTCATACTGTTGCTCTCTCTCTCTCTCCCTCTCTCTCTCTCTCTCTCTCTCTCTCTCTCTCTCTCTCTCTCTTGAGAATAAATCTTGGTATATGTGTTTACAACCTTATGTGAAACCCAAATTAAAAAAATAATGTGCTAATATATATATGGCGATGAATTTTTTTACTATATCAGCGAAATTTTAATGTAATTAAATGCTGTTTTCTTTTTTATAACATGTTTAGGTAAGAATGAGAAAGAGAGAGAGAGAGAGAGAGAGAGAGAGAGAGAGAGAGAGAGAGAGAGAGAGAGAGAGAGAGAGAGAGAGAGAGAGAGAGAGAGAGAGAGAGATCTGAATGAAGAACATCAGCATCATTTCTTAATGAACCCAAGTCTTAGTTAACAAAAGAAAAAAGGAGCGTTTGGACAATACACTCAGTTTCCAGTTTGTATTCGCTAACTGAAAGCAACAGACCGTAGGCAAGCTCAGACCGCCGTTTGGCTGACAGCATCTTCTCGCAATTCGCCTTGCATGTTATTCTCGCCTAATAAAACATCCAAATTTGTCTATAAAAAAAAACACACACACACTTTTAGTGGCAGCAAGACACGCACACGAAGTTCATCATTAACTCTGTGGATTCCAAGACGTTAGATAAGGGAGAGGAAAAAAAACAATAAGAGAGGTGTAGAGAGAATACCAATACGATATTTTGTTTATATACCTGGTTGATGGGGTTCTGGGAGTTCGTCTACTCCCCGAGCCCGGCCCGAGGCCAGGCTTGACTTGTGAGAGTTTGGTCCACCAGGCTGTTGCTTGGAGCGGCCCGCAGGCCCACATACCCACCACAGCCCGGTTGGTCCGGCACTCCTTGGAGGAATAAATCTAGTTTCCTCTTGAAAATGTCCACGGTTGTTCCGGCATTATTTAATTTTTTTTAGACAGCTTGCTAGGAAGTCTAATGGACAAAACAGTGATCCTTCGGTCGGGTACTTAACTTCACTGACGTAAACATAACGTCAGTGCATTCAGTAACCATAGCATCTATGTAGGCAGTAACAATTTTAATATTATAGAGAGGTGTGAATAAGTTGAAACATTGGCGCTCTGTGCAGGCGATGAGTCACAATAACGTGGCTGAAGTATGTTGACCAGACCACACACTAGAAGTTTAAGGGACGACGACGTTTCGGTCCGTCCTGGGCCATTCTCAAGTCGATAATGACTTGAGAATGGTCCTGGACGGACCGAAACGTCGTCGTCCCTTCAACTTCTAGTGTGTGGTCTGGTCAACATTGGCGCTCTGTATGTGGATATTTATTCCAAGTTGTAAAGAGGAACTATGAGTGAGTGAATCAGTCGTTCTGATGAATGGTGGAACACCTGAATAATGTCAAATTTAGATAATTTTATACGATAAATATTTAGACACATTTGTAAATTAAATAAGAAACTTAAGCGTTTTATTGTTACCGTAAACTAAAGTGAATGTATACTTACGCAAGTCTAAGCGCATGTAAATATAGAGTAATTATATTTCATACAGATTCAGTCACTGCACTTCACCAGCTGGGTGTAAGCATTAACACACCAGCCCTCCCCAGCTGAGTGTAAACATCAACACACCAGCCCTCCCCAGCTGGGTGTAAACATTAACACACCAGCCCTCCCCAGCTGAGTGTAAACATCAACACACCAGCCCTCCCCAGCTGTGTGTAAACATCAACACACCAGCCCTCCCCAGCTGGGTGTAAACATCAACACACACCAGCCCTCCCCAGCTGGGTGTAAACATCAACACACCAGCCCTCCCCAGCTGAGTGTAAACATCAACACACCAGCCCTCCCCAGCTGAGTGTAAACATCAACACACCAGCCCTCCCCAGCTGGGTGTAAACATCAACACACCAGCCCTCCCCAGCTGAGTGTAAACATCAACACACCAGCCCTCCCCAGCTGAGTGTAAACATCAACACACCAGCCCTCCCCAGCTGAGTGTAAACATCAACACACTATGGCTGAGACTAATTTGATTGAGCTGACACTGAACACAGTGACCTCCACTATCATGCCCCCCCCCCCCCTCCTTGTCCCGACTGGCGAGCCCGTGCGGCCTCTCTAACACCGGTCTCTTCCCTTACCAGTGGCGCACCTCAACATGGGCCTGGTGTTGGGTTTGATGGGTCAGCGGACGGAAGCGGCGGAGGTGTACCGTCACTGCTCTCAGCTCGATGGGTCCGGCCTCAAGGATCCCAGGACCCACGAGTCGACCAAAATATCGGCCCTCTTCAACTTGGGGCGCCTTTACGCCGATGACGGCCACTTCGACAGGGCCATCAGCGTCTACCAGGAGGCCGTTGAGAGGATGCCGTCCCACTACCAACCGCAGGTAACGTACGCATGTCTGGTTGAGCTAACCACAGGGGCTTCCGGGTGCATGACCACTCCAGTATAATGCATATGCATTATCAATTATCCTCATTGGGGCGCGTTTCCTTAGGGGGGGGGGGACTATTTTCTTTAATGCCACTCCTGTCTTCATTGCCACGATTAGCCCCCAAATGTTTCTATTATTCTCAAGGACTCGATTACCCTTAATTCCTCAATTATTCTGGTTATCTGTAAATACGTTGAATGAGGGCCATCACGCCAACTACCTGGAGCCTAAGGAATGCTCACCTTTGGTATTGGCTCTGATTTGTTAACCCAAAGGTCTTCGCCATTCCTAAGTAGAATCCTACAAGAGGATCCTGCAGGATCCTGTTGGGATCCTGTTGTAGGATTTCCTCATATCATCTCATTGTAATTTCCCATTGTAAGGGCCATTTGCATAACCAACCGATGGTGTTAGAATTATTTTTTGTTTATCTCTTAGTTAATTTGCAATTAGAGGCTCTTGTGGCTCTAGAGGCCATGCAACAGACACACACAGAGCGTCATAGAGCTGAACTCCGAAGTACTTTGAGGCTTATATAAAATATATATAAATGTAATATTTTCCCCTGTATTTTAATGTAAGTTTATGCTTCAATTTTTGTAACTCGTTTATAGGGTTATCTTGAGGTTATCTTGAGATGATTTCGGGGCTTTTAGTGTCCCCACGGCCCGGTCCTCGACCAGGCCTCCACCCCCCAGGAAGCAGCCCGTGACAGCTGACTAACACCCAGGTACCTATTTTACTGCTAGGTAACAGGGGGCATAGGGTGAAAGAAACTCTGCCCATTGTTTCTCGCCGGCGCCTGGGATCGAACCCAGGACCACAGGATCACAAGTCCAGCGTGCTGTCCGCTCGGCCGACCGGCTCCCTAACCTAGCCTAGGGGTTTTCTAAAAAATCTTGTTCTGTACTACTGAAACACTTGTTCACTAAGAATTGTAATGTATAATTGCCTTGTAACATTTATGTATATGTAACTTATATTGTATTTTTTTATATAAAGATAAAAAAAATAGATAAACAAATTACAATGTCACTGAACTATCTGTAACAGGTAAAGTTACTTTTTGATGCGATCTTGATCATCTGTTGTTGTTTTAGATTCAGCTACTGGGATAATTTTTTTTTTAAGTAGCACGGGCTATGGCGAGCCCGTAGTGGACTTACCTGGCCCAGGGGCGAAGCTGTAACTACCAAGAGTGTTACAGGTACAGGTACAGGTTACAGCGGGAGGTATGAAGACCCTCAGATATTTAGACCTGTAACAGACCAGAGACCCTGGACCCGAAACGTGTACTTAACTCCGGTGAGATTGATTGATTGATGAAGGTTAAGCCACCCAAGAGGTGGCACGGGTATGAATAACCCGTAATAGAATAGGCACGGGCATTGATATCCCGTAATATTCTATTACGGGCATGAATAGTCCGTAATAGAATAGGCACGGGCATGAATAGCCCGTAATAGAATAGGCACGGGCATTGATATCCCGTAATATTCTATTACGGGCATGAATAGCCCGTAATAGAATAGGCACGGGCATGAATAACACGTAATAGAATAGGCACGGGCATGACTATCCTGGTGAGCTTGTTGCATCATTAAAATACATGACACTCGCACGAGAGAATAATGATAGACAGATGATAGACTGGTCGGTATAGATCTCGCTCTCTAAGAATAATGAAGAATTTGTAAAATAGTTTGGGCTTATATAAGGTGCGATTTTATTTTGGATACAATTTCGTAAATGAGGAATTTTATCAATCTCATACAGTCTAAATGTTATTTACAAATAAAGTCTTGTTTTATTATGGCGTTTCTCTACAGTCTACACAGTCTAATGTTATTAGGAGCAATAAGGGATGGTAGAAAATAGCATATAATTAAGATTTGAGTTAACTGGCCCATATGAGTGCACATACCAGTGGGAGGTAGTTGGGTACACATACCAGTGGAAGGTGATTGGGTACACATACCAGTGGAAGGTGATTGGGTACACATACCAGTGGAAGGTGATTGGGTGCACATACCAGTGGAAGGTGATTGGGTGCACATACCAGTGGAAGGTGATTGAGTACACATACCAGTGGAAGGTAGTTGAGTACACATACCAGTGGGAGGTGATTGGGTACACATACCAGTGGAAGGTGATTGGGTACACATACCAGTGGAAGGTGTTTGGGTACACATACCAGTGGAAGGTGATTGGGTGCACATACCAGTGGAAGGTGATTGGGTGCACATATCAGTGGAAGGTGATTGGGTACACATACCAGTGGAAGGTGATTGGGTACACATACCAGTGGAAGGTAGTTGAGTACACATACCAGTGGAAGGTGATTGGGTGCACATACCAGTGGGAGGTGATTGGGTACACAAACCAGTAGAAAGTAGTTGAGTGCACATACCAGTGGAAAGTGGTTGAGTACAAACATCAGTGGAAGGTGGTTGAACTCACATACTATTGGGGGGGGGGAGGGTTGAGAGCCACCACTGTATAGTGCTTTAAGATGTTCCTTGACTATCTTATCATTAACTCTTAAGGCAGCATACCTGTCACTTAGACGGAGCTCGGGGAGATCTTTAATCAATTTCATAGAGTAAAAAAAAGAGTGGAATAATCATTTGAAAATGTCTAATTTTCTAAAGAAACATTCAAATGCTGCAGTTGTCGCATTAAAGATTTGTCAATTTGCAAGATCCTGAGTTTTCAATGCAGTGTTAATCATTTATTCTCATTGATGTATGAGAATACATCAATGAGAATACATCTCTTTCCCCGTCTGTATGGGGGAAGATTTATTCAGTCGCTCTGGTGAGTTTCACAGAGCATTTTGAAGCCAAAACGATAATTAATTTCAGTAATAACACCCACAAACCCGTAATAATATGCAGCTACAGTCTTCAAGGTTACAAACCGGAGTTAGCCGAGTCTGGTTACAGGAAGCTGTATGCCGGAGTCACTTGATACATACTTGAAACATACGAGTTTCAAACGTGTTTGTAACCTGGAAACATGCGTGTTTCTCCCGTATCAGGTATTTCTAAGAGCACCTGGCTTAAAATTCACACACACACACACACACACACACACACACACACACACACACACACACACACACACACACACACACACACACACACACACACACAGACCAAACTGGAAACGGTTCAAAGGTTTGCCACCAGACTAGTACCCGAGCTGAGAGGTAAGAGCTACGAGCAGAGGCTACGGGAATTAAACCTCACTTCGCTGGAAGACAGAAGAGTTAGGGGGGACATGATCACCACATTCAAGATTCTCAAGGGAATTGATAGGGTACATAAAGACAGGCTATTTAACACAAGGGGCACACGCACTAGGGGACACAGGTGGAAACTGAGTGCCCAAATGAGCCACAGAGATATTAGAAAGAACTTTTTTTAGTGTCAGAGTGGTTGACAAATGGAATGTATTAGGAAGGGATGTGGTGGAGGCTGACTCCATTCACAGTTTCAAATGTAGATATGATAGAGCCCAGTAGGCTCAGGAATCTGTACATCAGTTGATTGACCGTTGAGAGGCGGGACCAAAGAGCCAAAGCTCAACCCCAGCAAGCACAACTAGGTGAGTACACACCCGCACTCACAAATGAGTCACCCATCAACATGCAACATTTACCTCCCATGACAATATTGCACATAGCTGACGATGCAACGTTTACAGTTGACCGGCAGATGTCTCTGGTCAGATCGTACCCACTACACTGGCTTCTACGCTCGATTACGATGTTAGATGCGTATAACTAATGCCATCTTTACGCCACCCTGAAGGGACGAATGATCTCCAGGAAGAGTGATGGAGTGCAGCATGGTAGAAGGAAGGTAGTCGAGAAGAGGGGTGAAATGATGGCAGCTCCTGTCTGGAAGGAGGAGACGAACATCTTGAAAGAGGGTCCAAGTAGAAGGGTCGGAGTTGATGGTGGCTTTATTGTAATGTGTGTCTATCTGATGACTCCCGGCGGCATATTGATTCTTGTCTCTTTCTGTATGTATATACGAGTGTGGGTGTGTTCCTACCTATATGTACTCACCAAGGTGTGGTTACAGGCTCGAGAAATGGCTCCCTAACCCCCACCTGTCCATCTTCAGGGCCAGTTAATGCAGTTTCGTTTTCATTTAACTTCTCACTAAATTTGCCTCAAGGATCGCTTCTTTGAATCCGTTCAGGCTCATTTATGTCTTCAGCCTCCACCTGTGAACTCTGATCCTGACATGCCTTGTTTGGATAATTATCTATTTGTTTACCCTGTTAATGCTTCTCTTCTGACTCACCCTTCCTCTCGCGAGGTGAATGAGTTCTCTCACACTTTCCTGTCTCACCTAGATGTGCCTCGAGGCACATCTATAGCCTCACTCAGTCATATTCGCTTCCAATTCTATTAATCAGTTTTGCATCATCTACAAACATGGGCACAGACGACCCAATATTCTCTCTCAGGTCATTAACGTATATCAGGAATAGAATGGGACCCAGTACCGTTCCCTGAGGCTCACACCTTCTGACCTCTCGCCACTCTGACTTTTCTTCTCTCACAGTTAACTATTGCTTCCTTTCAGCACCTTTTCTTTGAAAACGTTCTTAGATACTTTCTGACAATCATGGAAACAGGAGAGAGAAAAGTGGGCTGTGTAATTAGTCCACTACTCTATCTCTTTTCGTTTAATCATTACCATAAACACAATTAAGATTAGTTAGCCATGATGGTAATTAGATTAATTAGCCAGCATGTAGCCATCCTGGCGCTATAAGGGCAACACCCATTTGCCGGTTAATGGGGGGGGGGGAGGTGGTCCGGAGGTGGTCCGTCTCTCGGTGTATTACTCGGAAAGCTTTACACTTTTAGTCCTGAACTTTGTACAGGGTTAAAGTACACTTGCTGGATGATCAGTATAATCTTCTTATTCCGG